TCAGATGATGAACATGAAAATATTGAAATGGTGGCCGGGCGCGGTGGCTCAAACCTGTAATCCCAGCACATTGGGAGGCTGAGGCAGGTGGATCCTTTGAGATCAGGAGGTCAAGACCAGCCTGGCCAACATGGTGAAACCCTGTCTCTACTAAAAGAACAAAAAAGCCCAGCATGGTGGTGCACGTCTATAGTCCCAGCTACTCAGAAGGCTGAGGCACAAGAATCACTTGAAGCTGGGAGATGGAGGTTGCAGTGACCCAAGATCATGCCACTGTACTCCAGCCTGGGCAGCAGAGTGAGACTTCATCTCAAAAAAAAAAAAAAAATCGGGGTGGCTTGTTCACAGGCTTCCAGGGAACCCAGGGTTGAAACTGAAGTGTGGCAGCAAGGATAATGATGATGATATCAATACTTACGTATTTTTATTTTATTACTTTTAGAGATAGGGTCTTGCTCTGTCACCGAAGCTGGAGTGCAGTGGCACGATCATAGCTCAGTGCATCCTCGAAGTCGTGGGCTCAAGCGATCCTCTTGTCTCAGCCTCCCAAGTAGCAATATTGATAGCTTTTAAAGTGTTGAATGCAATCTAGCTTGCAGTATCATGCTGCATATTTTTTCTGCATTGTCAGCTGGAAGAACAATATGTGCAAAGGATAAAATGGCTGAACTCATGCTCTACTCTATATTGCAAATATTTCATGGTGAGTGGTCTGAAATTAAGCCCAATGAGTCCATCCATCTTAGTGAGTAAAACATAGTTGGCTTATATATGCCGAATTTCTTTTGGAAAAATTCGTAGTGAACACGTTAATCACACACAGTTAAAAAAAAAGATTTATTTTCATTCTTAAAAAAAAAATTTGATACTGGGAAGCAAAAGATAGGAGGCCAGGTAGATTATTGATGTCCTCACACTTCCCCTCCTTCCTCCTAGTTAAAACCGGATCCCCCAGGCAAGAGTACCCACCTGCTGTGACAATTGTTAAGGACCTGCTGGTGTCCTGACACTGAATTGGTATATTGGCTCTGCCTTATGAGGTTGGAAAATAAGATTCAAGTGACACTTCAGGCTGGGCACCGTGGCTTATGCGTGTAATACCAGCACTTTGGGAGGCTGAGGCAGGTGGATCACTTGAGATCAGGAGTTCGAGACCAGCCAGGCCAACGTGGTAAAACCCTGTCTCTACTAAAAATACAAAACAATTAGCCGGGCATGGTGGCCCATGCCTGTAGTCCCAACTACTCAGGAGGCTGAGGCACAAGAATTGCTGGAGCCTGGGAGGTGGAGGTTGCAGTGAGCCGAGATCATAACAGTGCACTCCAGCCTGCGTAACAGAGTGACACTCTGTCTCAAAAATAAACAAATAAATAAATAAGTAAATAAAAATAAAAAGTTAAAAAACTCAACCATAGGTTTCCCATTGCCTCAAGGTAGGTCCAGCCTTTCCCCCTCCAGGCTCATTTTCTGGGGTGTTCTGGCCCCAGGAAGTGATCTGTGGGTGGCCTTCACAGTTACACCCTGGCTTTCCACTGTCCCCTTGCACTAGCTGGCTTCTCTTCCTGCACCGCTCTTTCCTTCCCTTTCATCCCCCGCATCCTCATCCCATTTGCCTGCCTAACTCTTACAGAGTCTTGGGTCATGGACAACACCCCTTCCTCTAGGCCTTCCATGACTGCCCACTTCCCAGGTGTGGATGATGTACCCTCCTGTGAGTGCTCTGTTCACTGTGTTTCCCTCATTTTGGTCGCCCTCACAGTTATCCTAACCATCCCCTTTCTTCTGGTTACCCACATTCTATTGTAGTTGGTTTTGTCTTTTGAGAGAAGGGATTATTCCCTGTTGACACTTCTATCCTTGGTACCCAGCACAATCCTGCCATACAGCAGGCAATCCATAAAGAAAGAATAAAAGGTCCACTCTGGGGCTGAGTGGCACTTGGCCTCAGGTTCCCAGCACCTCTGTACAGAGCCAGCAGTGTCTGGTGCTGATGTGCCGCTTGCCTGCCTTCTTGTTTCTTCGTGCCCTTGTCAACTGGCCTCTTCTGGCCCATCGGGATTTTCAGTGACTTTCTTTTTTTTTTTTTTCCAGGGGGTTTCATTACTTTATTTGAAATACTGTCAAGTTCCAGAACATCGGAGACAGTCATATACATGTACAAAAATACGTTAATATCCATGGGTGTGGTTATGTGCTGTGCTAGTATAAAACTGTAAATTCAGAAAATTCAGAAAAAACTTCTTTATACGTTCTCCATTATAGTACAAAAGGCCTCTTTATAATAATATGATATGTAATGCCTGTTATCTTTTTTCTATATTTACAGTGTCTCTGCATTAGACTAACAGTGCAAATAGGAAGGAAGCTTTTTTTTATTATTATTTATTTATTTTTTATTGCATTTTAGGTTTTGGGGTACATGTGAAGAACATGCAGGATTGTTGCATAGGTACACATAGGCAGTGTGATTTGCTGCCTTCCTCCCCTTCACCTATATCTGGCATTTCTCCCCATGCTATCTCTCCCCAACTCCCCAACCCCCGCTGTCCCTCCCCTATTCCCCCCAACAGACCCCGGTGTGTAGTGCTCCCCTCCCTGTGTCCATGTGTTCTCATTGTTCAACACCCACCTATGAGTGAGAATATGCGGTGTTTCACTTTCTGTTCTTGTGTCAGTTTGCTGAGAATGATGTTCTCCAGATTCATCCATGTCCCTACAAAGGACACAAACTCATCATTTTTGATGGCTGCATAATATTCCATGGTGTATATGTGCCACATTTTCCCAATCCAGTCTATCATTGATGGGCATTTGGGTTGGTTCCAGGTCTTTGCTATTGTAAACAGTGCTGCAATGAACATTCGTGTGCATGTGTCCTTATAGTAGAACGATTTATAATCATCTGGATATATACCCAGTAATGGGATTGCTGGGTCAAATGGAATTCCTATTTCTAGGTCCTTGAGGAATCGCCACACTGTCTTCCACATGGGTTCAGTGACTTTCTAGTAGTCACAGCAGTGTGAGCATGAGTTTGGACACTGCATTCCTACTGCACACGGTGACGAGCTCCCATCAAACTTGGAACTCTTACATCCTCTAGAATGTTTTGAGTTTTGAAATGGTGCCCCATACTACTAGGTATAATTTAAACATGCTCATTATTCAAGGAATAAGATGTTCTCCTGTTTTGCATAGGTCTCTATTACAGGATGCAACTGCAGGGTGCATTTTATTTATTTATTTATTTATTTTTTGAGAGAGGGTCTTACTCTGTCACTTAGGCTGGAAAGCAGTGGCATGATCACGGCTCACTGCAGCCTCTACCTCCCAGGCTCAAACTCTTCTCCCACCTCATCCTCCCAAGTAGCTGGGACTGCAGGCACACACCACCACACCCAGCTAATTTTTGGTATTTTTTGTAGAGGCTTCCTAAAGTGTTGGGATTACACTGCTACCAGCCAGGGCACATTTTATATTGTCCAGTTGATGGTGGGCATGTGAGCCAGGCACTATGACAGGACTGCTTATTGCAGCAGTTTGAAATAGGAAAATGAATAAAAATCTGCCATACAACAGAATTCTATACAGAAGCAAAAATGCATGAACTGGAGCTAGATGTACAAATGGGTTGAATGCCACCAAAAAATAGCAGAGAATATATACAATGCAATATCATTTATATGAAGTCTAAAGATGTGCAAAATTGAGCAATATACTGTTAAGGAATATATATATGTGTGTGTGTGTGTGTGTGTGTGTGTGTATATATATATATATATATACATTTCTCTGCCTCCCGGGTTCAAGCGATTCTCCTGCCTAGGCACTTATATCATATGCCTGTGCATATTGTCTTAGTTTGTTTGGACTGCTATAACATAATACCTTAGCCTGGGCATGGCTTCTAAACAGCAGAAACCTATTTATTTATTTAAAGACAGAGTCTCACGCTGTCGCCCAGGCTGGAGCACAGTGGAATGATCTCACTTCACTGCAACCTCCGCCCCCTGGGCTCACACGATTCTCCTGCCTTAGCCTCTAGAGTAGCTGGGATTACAGGCACCTGCCATCATGCCCAGCTAATTTATGTATTTTTCATAAAGACGGGGTTTCACCGTGTTGGCCAGGCTGGTCTTGAGCTCCTGACCTCAGGTGATCTACCTGCCTCAGCTTGCCAAAGTGCTGGTATTACAGGCGCGAGCCACTGTGCCCAGCCGGAAATTTATTTCTCATAATTATGGACACTAGGAAGTCCAAGATCAAGGAAGACTCAGTGTCTGGTGAGGACCTACTTTCTAGTTCATAGATGGGACCTTCTCCCTGTGTCCTGGAATGATGAAAGGGGGAAGGCAGCGCTCCGGGGTCTCTTTTATAAGGGTACTAATCCAATTTACGAGGGCTTCATCCTCATCATCTAATCACCTCGCAAAGGCCTCATCTTCAGGTACCATCATATTGGGGGTTAGGTTTCAACATATGAACCTTGGGGGGACATAAACGTTCATTCTATAGTACACATACACGCATGGAACTGATAAATACGTAGATGAGGATAGAAGTGTTCTCTGGGCAGGAGGGAGGAGATGTAACCTGGGAGGGGCATGTGGGGCCCTGAGAGTGCAGGCAACCCTCTGACTTGGGCTGCGCAGTAGGTGCATGGTTTCTCATTGCATTATACTTTATGCCTCATATATAAGCTAAATATATTCTTCGGATGTATGATATGTCATAATAAAAATGGCATTAAAAATCCATCAGCAAGTTCCAAGTGAGGTTACATTCCCAGCACTTTGAAGAAGAAAGAGGATTAAAAAAAAATTCTTACTGTGTTTCTTCCACAGTTCATAGGGTAATTTTAATCACATCATTCCTTACTTTACCTAAAAGGCTGAAGGTAGAAATATACATTGCTGTAGCTCCCCACTGGTGATCCCCAGTGAGGAGACAAAATAGACAGACCATCTCCCCTGATCCTGCCATCTCCTTGCTTGTTGCAGATGTTGCTGTGGTAGACATGAGTGATGTCTGCAGGCAGCCTTCTCTCTTCTACCATCTTGGAGTCCGAGAAAGCTTTGACATGGCCAATAACGTGATCTTGTACCATGACACCGATGCCGACACTGCTCTCTCTTTGAAGGTAAAGGGTCTTGTTCACCTTCTTCTGAGTACTTCTTTTTGGGAAAGCAGCATTAACTGTCGAGCTGAAAAGCCGCTGTAGCACAGAAAGTTGGAGAAAAACAAAGACTTGCTTGTGCAATTCTTTCCTTCCCACCACAGGTTCTAGTTCATACAGATGACTTCCTGGCCACTTTGGGAACTTCTGTGCTGCAGTCATATTTTTGCAGGCAACTTGGGCGTTTCCAGGCAAACACTCCTGTTAGCTTCCACTGAAGCAGACACACTGTTCTGAATTCCTTCATGAGAAATTGGATCCAAACCTACACATAAAAATCGGTTCTCGGCCGGGCCTGGTGGCTCAAGCCTGTAATCCCAGCATTTTGGGAGGTCGAGGCGGGTGGATCACAAGGTCAAGAGATCGAGACCATCCCGGTCAACATGGTGAAACCCCGTCTCTACTAAAAATACAAAAAATTAGCTGGGCACGGTGGCACGTGCCTGTAATCCCAGCTACTCAGGAGGCTGAGGCGGGAGAATTGCCTGAACCCAGGAGGCGGAGGTTGCGGTGAGCCGAGATCGCGCCATTGCACTCCAGCCTGGGTAACAAGAGCGAAACTCCGTCTCAAAAAAAAAAAAAAAAAAAAAAAAAAAAAATCGGTTCTCAACTTGGATAATAATGTAAAGACATTGAACAGTTACCAAAATGGACAGAATATTTTAGCATAGACACGATTAGTCTTTGATGTTATTTTCCCCCAATCTGAAAGCAAAGCAAAACTGAAAACTTGTGTTCCTGCACAACTCATTCATTGTTAAGAATTTTTAAAATATATTTTTGCAAGTTTGAGACAAGCTTTTTTGGATAACATCATATTTTTTAAAAAATCCTTATATCTGTATAATGGAAATGTTTAACATGAGTTATTCCAAAATTCAATGGATATCGGTATCGTTGAATATTTTAGTCAGAAAATCCTGGCCTATGTTAAATCATTGTAGAAATAATGGATTAGTTTGCTTACAGCAATGCTTCTCAGCCTTGAGTGCACTTCAGAATTACTGGGAGAGCTTGTAAATATCCCCATACCTAGCCCCACCGGAAACCAATTACATCACAATCTCAGGGATGGGGTGGGACCCAGCTTGAAGATTTTTTTTAACCTCCCAAATATGCAACCAGGGGTGAGAACCAGTGGTTTGGAGAGTCAGCCTTTACAGACGTTATTTCTAAAGGTTCAGTTCCCTCAGTATTAAAAATCAGTGGTAGATAATAGTACAAATTTATGCCAAAGTTGGACATTTTCGTTGTGTTTCTTGAGATTTAATATTAACTAGATTTTCTTGGTTGTGTAAGGATTTGAGATTATTTCCTGGTAGAAATACCACCTGCCTGAGATGTGTAACTTGTATGTGCTCAACATCACATATACTTTACCGAGATATGTATTCATTAATTATAGCAAAACACATATTTTAAGAAGTCATTTGAATGACAGTGAAAGAAGAAACTTTTATTAGTGTACTTTACATTGTAGAATAGTTTCCCCAGGGCTATAAACCAATGGAAACTACATTAGATATTTAGATACTTAGCTTTTCTATTACTGATTTTCACCAAGGTAGCTATGCTTAGGAATATTTAGAACTTAGCAAGTATGAAAGATACAGATAATTAACCTATATTTTGATGAGAAACATGAAATTATAATGTATTTTTTTCCCAGTTTAGGACAGTTGTTTCTTCAACTGTGCCTTAGCAAAGCCCTCTGGAAAGTTCTGTGGACTAGATGTTTTAATTTTTAATGATACAGAAAAATATTTCCTAAAATGGAAATGGATAGTCAGTTATATCTAACACCAGAAGAAGCAGTTTGTACTTGTTATCAGGAAATAAAAATCTCAGAATATGTAAAACATGTTTTACAGGACAGCTGTCTAATTATGTTTTCTTCCCCGGGAACTATTGGTTGTCAGTGTATAAATGAGACAGTCAAGGGACGCCTATCATACTGAATTTAGTGACTAAAATTGTTGTCACTGAATTTGAAGATTCCTAGACAGTTGTAGAGGGTGGCAGGAATTGTACCACAGCACCCCTTCTGTAGGTGGGCTGACTGTGGTGTGGCCTTCACGCTGATTGATTCAAGAATTGGTTCCAGATCCAGGGCCAGCATGTTGCCTTCCAGGCCTTTCCTTGCCATTGCTGACATTCTTCTCTGGAAAGGCGAGATGCAAGGCACTGAGCACTCCAAACTTGAAGCTCAAAATATCTTTTGGGCAAAAGCACTGGCACTGTTCCGGGGAAATCCTTAAAAGCATAAATGCCCTCTAGTAGTCCCACAGGCTGACCAGCAGTGATCGATTTTCTTTGGAACATGGGTGTTGCAATTCCGAGGTTGATTCTGTTAGAAGCTTTTGGAGTGGGAGGTTTCACATGATTACTTCTTGCTCTACAGAGGGGAATGCTGGCTAATGCTTATGGAAATTAACTGTTTTTCAAAAAAGCTATATTTATCTTTTCTTTTTCTTTTCAGGACATGGTAACTCAAAAAAACACAGTAAGTATTACATTTTCAGAATTGTATTTCTGAAATTAAATGTAAATGTCAAGTCATAAAATGCTTGCCTGAAAATTGCCCAGGTAGCAGGTGGACTTCTAATCATGCCTGTGGGTTCTGTTTCTAAGGAGGACAGCTAGACATCTCCTATGCCTCAACCTGCCAGCTAGCCCCAGGCCCTACTCAGCCATCAAGTGTGTGGGCCAGAAGGCAAGGCCAGGCAAGAACGTGTATGTTCTTCATTACCTGCTAGGACTTTGAGCCGGAACCTTCTGGGTGATTCCTTCTCAGCTGGGTCGATGTTCCATGGACCACCAAGAATCTTTTTGCTGGAGTCATTACTTCCCATACTTTTTTTGCTGGTGTCAGTACCTTCCTTTCTCCAAGCAGAGTTTCCCTAATGATGGAGGAAAGTGAACTTGTATCTCAGTTAATATGGGGCACAAGTTCCTTGCCACAAACTGGAAAGAAGTGGGTGGAATTCTACTTGCTTCTGTCCCATTTATGTACTGAAGTCTCCTGATTTGGCTCAAAAGTTCTTGCAATTACATAGTTTTATTGCCACATTGGTTTGAATAGTATAATGAAATCGCCACCCTAAAAATGTTTTTTAAAAGATCTTGGCCTTGGAAATAATGCTAAGGTGATTGTATACCTTTGAATGCACCCCACGCTGCCCATCCCTCCAGACCTATGGCATTGTGGTTTGAGAAACCATGACCTAGACTCCCTCTCCTTGGAGGCTTATCTCCTTCCTGCTAGCCCTTCTAGAAGGAGTGGGCCTGCAGACTCTCTTCCTATTCCAGTTGGGGTTCCTAGGAGAGGGAGAAAGGTCCCAGGAGGCAAAGGTCTTTCCAGGGCGCCCTCTGCAGAAGGCCTCAACCTGCGCTTGGGGGCGCAGACTTCCCCCGGACCCTAACAGAGCTCCCCACCTGAAACAGAAGTTCCAGAAGCTCCTAGTGTGCAGGATTACTATTGGAGCAGGAATTCTACAGGCAGGCCTGGAAGATGAGGCATCAGGTGGTTTTAGGTTCCTTTTGGAAAAGAGATGGGATCATATGTGACTTTCTTTTGCCCCATTTACATGCTGATGTTGTCCACCTGTGAGAGTCTTTCCTATTCTTCCTAGACCTTGATTTTTTTTTTTTTTTTGAAGCAGTCTCTCTCTGTCGGCCAGGCTGGAGTGCAGTGGCGCAATCTTGGCTCACTGCAATCTCTGCCTCCTGGGCTCAAGCAATTCTCCTGCCTCAGCCTGCCGAGTAGGGATTACAGGCACCCGGCTAATTTTTGTATTTTTAGTAGAGACGGGGTTTCACCATGTTGGCCAGGCTAGTCTCGAATTCCTGACCTCGAGTGATCTGCCCACCTTGGCCTCCCAGAGTGCTGGGATTTACAGGCGTCAGCCGCCACACCTGGCCTTGATTTTTAAAATTACCTAATTTGTGGAAAATGGGGAAGAAGTCGAAGGAGACTGTGCCTGGAGCCCAGGAGGTGCAGTTGTAGCTGCAGGCCTGTCTCTAAGTAACACTGGGCAGTCCGTCATTCCACCTCTGCCTAGGCCTCAGGACCCTCAGCAGTAAAATGAGGAATGTTGAACTGTGCTATTTTGTTCATTGATGCCTTCCAGCCCTCAACATCTGTGGTTCCTTATTTGCTATACAAGCAAGAAGATGTAACCTGGATTTAATGCAAGAGATGGCTGTGAAATGCTGATTCCTTAAAACAGCATGAGTTACACTGAGGCAAGGAGCAAGAAGACAACTTGTTTTCTTTCTCCATTCCTGCCTGTTGGATGCTTCAGCACTCAGAAATATTCTGTCCTCCCGGAGACTTGGTGTCATGCTGCTACAGTTTCACTACATGCCTCCCTTCTGGTGCATTCTCCCTCCTCCCAGACACCCAGGAATTCCTTAACATCCTTAGTAATGCCCAGCACACTTTGGCACTGTTGTTTCCAGGTATTTTCTTTGGTTTTTAGGAATAAACTTACTCTAAGGCAGTGGTCCCCAACCTTTTCATCACCAGGGACCGGTTTCATGGAAGACAATTTTTCCACAGAGCAGAGGTGGGAGATGGTTTCGGGAAACTGCTCCACCTCACATCATCAAGCATTAGATTCTCATAAGGAGCATGCAGCCTAGATCCCTTGCACATGCAGTTCACAAGAGGGTTTGCGCTCCTTTAAGAGTCTAATGCCACCAATGATCTGACAGGAGGTGGGGTTCAGGCAGTCATGCAGGCTCACCCATGGCTCACCTCCTGCTGTGCGGCCTGGTTCCTAACAGGCCACTGATTGGTGCCGGTCCATGGTCCAGGAGTTGGGGACTCCTGTTCTAAGGGATTTGGCAGCTAATCTCTCTGCTGTATTTGGCATTATGTTAGAATGTTGTGCCCCGTAGTGGTTGTCATGCTTGGTGAGATATGAAAATTTAGAGCACTCAGAGGAATAAAAAGGATCCCAGGTGATGTGACGAGTGGAAAATTGTACCTAAGAGGAAAAGCTAAAGGGAACTAAGCCTTGAGAGGGACGATGAGTAGTCATCTTCAAATGCGATCCCCTTTCTGAAAGTAAAGAGATGTTTACTTTTTCCACTCCAGATGGGATGGAAGTAGGGTAAACGGAAAAATGGTTTGGGTCAGCAGAATGGACATCTTGCAACTAATGCTGATTAAACGTTAAAATAGGGGCTGGGTGTGGTGGCTCATGCCTATAGTCCTAGCACTTTGAGAAGCCGAGGTGGGTGGATCATCTGAGGTCAGGAGTTCAAGACCAACCTGGCCAACATAGCAAAACCCCATCTCTGCTAAAAATACAAAAATTAGCCGGGCACGGTGGTGTATGCCTGTAATCCCAGCTCCTCAGGAGGCTGAGGCAGGAGAATTGCTTGAACTCAGGAGGTTGAAGCGAGTTGATATCACCCCACTGCACTCCAGCCTGGGCGACAGAGTGAGACTCTGTCTCAAAAACAAACAAAAAACCATTAAAATACAATGTCACAGTAAATTGGGTGGCTTCTAAGGAGAATTTGCTCACTTGTCCCCTCCGTGTGGACTGGGGTAATCCTGGAATCAGACCTAGATCATCTGACCCCAGAGATTCCGAGAGAGAATCTGATTGAATTGTGGGTTTGTGATCATTTTGGAAAGATTTTTATTCAAACACACACACACACACACACACACACACACACACACACAGTCACAGTTAGTGAACAGTAAAGTCTTGTGAATAAGGAGTACAAATTAGATGCCATACCCTGAACATGTAGCCAGATGCTTGAAATGATTTATGAACATGTGAAAACCAAGATGCTTTGAGATCTCTTTTCAGGGAGCCATTTGATATTTCGAAAATTGTACTTTTACCCAGAAAGGGAGATGGAAAAATGAAAAAATAATAACAACATTAAAATTGTGCTTGATGATGTGCTTCATTTGGCAGCAGAATGGGCACATTTGTCTCCATTTCTTTTTCGATGGAGTCTTGCTCTATAGCCCAGGCTGGAGCACAGAGGCATGATCTTGGCTCACTGCAACTTTCCTTTCCCAGGTTCAAGTGATTCTCCTGCCTCAGCCTCCTGAGTACCTGGGAATACAGGCATGTGCCACCACGACCGGCCAAGTTTTGTTTTTTTTTTTCAGTAGAGGCAGCGTTTCACCATGTTGGCCAGGCTGATCTCAAACTCCTGGCGTCAGGTGATCACCCACCTTGGCCTCCCAAAGTGTTGGGATAACAGGCCACATTGCCCGGACATCTGTCTCCATTCCTAGAAGAAGTTGATTTGCAGGGATGCTGAGGTCAGGAAGCTAATGTCCAGGCTTCAGAGTGGACCACCTGCAGCTCTTCTGGGCCTCTTTGCTCTTTGGAAACATGCTAACAGTTTTTGTGCTCACCTCCTTATCAGATGATGCTCATATTCTTGTGTTCTGGTTTTGTTTTGTTTTTGAAATGTACACACAATTCAATGACTTTCAATAAATGACAGAGTTGTGCAGCCAGTTGTGGGTTGTTGACCACCATCTAGTTTTAGAGCATTTCCCTGACCCCAAAATGATTATTTGCTGACAATCTCTCGGTCCACACCCAGCCCCAGGCAACTGCCAATCTACTTTTTGTCTTAGAGATTTGCCTTTTCAAGACTTTTCATGTGAAAGGAACCATACAATATGTGATGTTTAGCATCTGGCTTCTATCACTTAGGATGATGTTTTTGAAGTTCATCCGTGATGTTGCATGGATCAGTAGTTCTTTCCTTTTTATTACTGAACGCTATTCTACTGCATAGATACTACACATTTTATCTGTCCCTTCCCTAGTAGGTGGACATTTGGATCATTTCCACTTTCTGGCCATTATGAATAATGCCACTGTGAACATTCGAGTACAAATCTTGGTGTGGGCGCATGTTTTTATTCCTCTTGGATACATACCTAGGAACAGAATTGTCAAGTCACATTGTAAATATAGCCTTTTTTTTTTTTGAACTGGAATCTCACTTTTTTGCCCAGGCTGGAGTGCAGTGGTGCTATCTCAGCTCATTGCAACTTCTGCCTCCAGGGTTCAAGCGATTCTCCTGCCTTAGCCTCCTGAGTAGCTGTGATTACAGGCACCTGCAACCACGCCTAGCTAAATTTTTTTTGTCTTTTTATTAGAGACGGGGTTTCACCATGTTGGACAGGCTTGTTTCGAACTCCTGACCTCAAGTGATCCACCTGCCTCGGCTTCCCAAAGTGCTGGGATTACAGGCATTAGCCACTGTGCCCAGGCAGTAAATATACTTTTAACTTCTTAAGGAACTGTCAAAATAATCCAAAGTGGCTGTACTATTTTACATTTCCACCAGCAATGGGAGGTCCAGTTTCTTCACACCCTCACCCATACTTGGTGTCATCTATCTTTTTATTATAGCCATTCTAGTGAGTATGAAATGATACATGAGTGTAGTTTTAGTTGGCATTTCCCTAGTGGCTAATGATGTTGAGCATCTTTTCATGTGCTG